CCAAATCTCTTTACTGGGGTGCATCAGATTGAAGATATCTTGTGTTTATGCCTGGAGCATGGTTACAAGTGGGTTAGGAAAGGGGATTCTTCCTCCTATTAATACCTTGGAGAAACAGAATTCCTAATGAAGGGAATTCCCTGAGCATGGGGAAACTCTTCACAAGATTAGGGTTTTAACATAAATATTACAACATGAATATGTCATATTTATGGCCAACACATACTTCGCAAATCAAAGACAGTGCCCCCACCAAGAATTAAGAGGAGGATATTGATGAGAGGTGGATTAATGTGCACTGAATTACACTTGGAGGAGTAAGTTCTAGTGTTCTGTTTAATTTACACCTGTTGAAGATCAGTAGCACCCTAGTTCACAGAGCTATACTTAAAATAATTTACTATATATTTCCAAATAGCTAACAGAGAAGATTTTGAGTGTTCCTAGCGATAAGGAATAGTAAAAAGGTTGGGGTAATGGACATGCTAGCTGTCTGATTCTGTCAGCACACATTATTGTCATGTGTTGAAATACCACACTACCCCATAAGTACGTGTTATTGTTATTGTGTATTAGTTTTAGAAAGAGGCAGAGTCAGGTGTTAGAATTTCAAAAAGGCTCTCCAATGAGGTGTGCAGCATTTGGGAAGGAGAGACGTCTGGCCCAAACATCACATCCTACAGGGCTTCTCAGCTTTTGACTGTACCTCCAAACGAAGATACACAAAGAGGTTGCAGAGAGAGTGTTGGGATAGGGTGAAGTGCATTTTCCCCTTCTTAATTTGCACACTGTGAATGGGCCACACTGCCCCAGGTACTCCACACTTTCATACATGTTATGGACTCTATAATTATCCTGGAACCAGCACTACTTAATTATATTACATTGTATTTTACGTGCTATTTAATTTGATGTATGTAATCATTAAAAGTCGAAACTTTTGGGGCTGGCAAGATGGCTCAGTGGACTGAAGCACCTGCTTAGACAAGTGCAGGGACCATGGTTCTATCCCCAGCACCACAAGCCACACTAACCTCGCCCCCAGGGCTGGCTGAGCCACCCAGAGTCCGGGCTTAGGGGTGTATGCCTGTCCCAGCGCTGGGCAGGATGAAAACAAGAGGGGCATCATGAGTCCGAGCTGCATAGTGAGACCCTGTAACAACCAAATACATAGATAAAAAAGACGTAAGTTTTGTAATTTTGACTTAAGATTTTCTTTAGGGATTCTAAAGGAGAAAAAGCTAACATCATGCTTGAATGGTTCAGAGCTCAAAGAAGAGCTCTTGAGGGCTACTAGTGGGGACTCCAAATTGGTTTCTGAAGGACTGGATAGGGTTTATTGTGATCTGTAGTGTGGTATGGGGAATGTCATTGTTGGCAAGTGTTCTCAGAGCAAATCAATTCCTTTTTTAAAACAGGGACATCCATAACTATTCCTGTCTTGAGTCTCATGAAAGAAAAGCTCATTCCTGTGATATAGGAGATCAGCAGGTCCTCTCTGCCCGTGTAGGTCAGCTCACCCTTCAGATAACCACTGCTCGGTGCTGGGGCTGAGAAGGTGGAGAAGCCCTTGGGAGTGCAAGGCTGTAGAAGACTGAGTTCTCCAGGTGAGGTGAGGAGGCCTGGGACGTCGCTCCTGTCCATGTTGGCACAGATAAGGGACATTTGGGAGAGCTGAACAGAGTTTAATTGCACTGCAGTGTTGAGCTGTTTAATTTGCACCTGTTAAGAACAGTAGTTAATTGAGACAGAGATTATAAATTAGGATTTCTGGACAGGTCCTTAGGGTACACCTTGTCAGAGTTTTCTTGTAGGAAGGTTTGGAAACCAACCAGAGAAAGACATGTTGAGTCTTTGGGGGTTACGGCCTGAGCTCTATCCTCTGACCACCCCTGTGATTGCAGGTCACTAGGTTTGAGCATCAGGAGCTAGCTCTAAGGTCTCAGCTAGAATTCTGTGTGTGTTGTGGGGGTCCAGAATTTGCACTTGGGCTTATGTCTCCAAGACACTCAGAGAGGCCCTCCCCTAGTGCCTCTCTCTGCTGCTGAGGTAGTGAGGGGCTTTCTTCCCTCTGAGTCAACTTTTCTGACCTCTGCTTCCTGGGCTTATTCTGAGTGGCAGCTCCTCCTTCCTTTCTCACATCCTGTGGGCAAAAAATCATGTTGATGACACCCCTGAGGTGCTCTGGCATAATTTTTCTTTGTTTAATCCACATATACACTGGCTTGATGCATGCTAAATACTGTTCAAATGTCTTTGCAAATAATTTATCATTTATCTATCATGTATTTATCAACTATGTATCATCTATCATCTACCTATATCTATCATCTGTTCCAAGTTGCTTGGATATTATTAGAGTTATTTAATTCTCAAAAAAAGTCTATAAGGGATTGTTTGCCTGGGCCGATAGATGAATAAACTGAGGCATAGAAAGGGTGCTGAGTGCTTTAGCCTCACAGAGCTAAGAAGCAGCGAAGCTGGGATCTGAACCCAGACCATGTGGACTCAGAGCTTTGTGTCTCAATCACTGCTGTCTCTGCCTGCCCTCAGCAGAGCTCTGCTGCCGCCCTGGCTGTGGCCTCCAGGCCTCCTGCCCGAGGTACTGCCCAGGGCTGTCGTCCTTTTTGAAAGTTTGAAGTTAAGTGTTGTAAATGTATTATGGCCTCAGTTAGAGCACTTTGAAATATGTTACTCCCAGATCCCAAAACGTCTAAATTCCAGACCTCTGTTCCGGATGGCAGGCCCAGCAGATTGTGTGCTGTGGTGACCTCTTTTCCACCGCCCTGCAGCACCAGGAGCCCGCCATCCTTCATCAGGGAAGTGTGCTGTGATGGCCACGTTTAGGAAATTCAGTGGGCGATTCCAGGCTTAGTGCCTGTTATGTTAGCAGGCACCGTTAGATCTGAAAACCCTTTTTGCATCCTGTGACAATGACATCCAAGTGCTGGTGAAGTGGGGAGGCTCACAGCAGTGCTCTAAAAATGGAGTGAACATCAGTGGCTGTGCTCTGGACGTGAGAGGTCCTGAAGTGGTCACAAAGAAGGCTGAACAGCTTCTGTACGCATGCGATTGCTCATTTAGCAGTGAGCCCTCTGCAAAGTACTTCAGAGAGTGCTGTGAAAACGAACAGCAGCGTTAAAGCCTAGCCCGTGGCTGTGGCTGTTGATTTGCGCACAATAAGAGACATTCCTCTCTCTCTGCATGTCCGTCTTTGGGAAGATGAACTTTGAATTAAATGTGACTGCCCTGTGCTAAGCTCCTCCTGCCCCCTCTGTCCCCTCCACTGAAAGAATGGCTGCCAGATTAATTCTGCTCAAAGGCTGATCAGGTGACTCCCCTGCTCTAACCCTCCTGGGGCTTTCTACTGCCGACTAAAATTAGTCTGAGTATTCAACTTGTCCAGTCAGAACAAGACTGAGTCTCTCCATGGGATTTGTGACTCCTGTGGGTGGGGCACAAGGCCTATAAGACTTGAAAACTAATGCCATCAGGACTGTACTTTGATGCCCGTCACCAGGACTTAATTGTGCGGTGAAGTGTTTATGTATTGGGAATGAAGGGATGATGGGGAAACTGAGTTGCTACATCTCAAATTCCCTGGATTTACCACTTGGAATGGAAGTTTGGGATTTTGACATTTTTGAACTAGGAGCTATAACATTTCAAAATGTGTTCGAAGTACAGTGGTATCTCTTGGTTCATAGCCTTTGTGTTTCTGTGGGGAAGATGGCCATAGTTGTACTGGTCACCTGCTGTGGAGTTCATAAACAGAAACAGGACCAAACTGGAGCTGGGATGGGAACCTGTGGTGGTCTACACTTTTCCAGGTGGCACTTGATCAGTGTCTGGCACACAGTAGGCCTTCATTATCTGTCAAGGAACAAATGGTCTTTATAACAATCATTGCCTGTGAGACCAAAGCTGCAAAAGTGAGAGGGCTGCAGACACTTAGGCAGTACTAGGTTTTCATTTCTGGGCCAAGGCTAGGCAAATAGAAAAAGTTACCTAACACAGAGTTTCTCTATTTTGCCACTATTAACATCTTGGGTTGGGTAATTCTGAGAGAGAGAGAGAGAGAGAGAGAGAGAGAGAGAGAGAGAGAGAGAGAGAGAACCCTTGTCACTGTAGGATGTTCAGCAGCGGCCCTAGCTTCTCACTAGTTATTGCCAAGCAAGCATCAGCGAGATGTAATGTTGTCCTGTGAATGCTGAAGTTGGGATTTGAACTTGGCTCACGTGAATCCTAACCCAGCACTACTTCCAAAAGTTAGAGGAAAGCGGGGGAGATTGTCAGGTCAACCAAGGTCCTTGCTCGTGAATCTTCCCTTTCTGATTGTTTTCAACTTCTTTGTGTTTCTTTATTCAAAGGTACAGGTAGCAATCATTTACACTTGAGTGTAAATATAAAGCTGCTCTTCCTGTTCTTGAATATCTAAAACAGTGAAGACAAACCTTTTACATCAGCTCATCAGTGGGGTAGGAATAGTCTTGGAATAAAATGTGTTTGTGACGTGCCTGAAATCAAATCCAATAGGTAACTGCCTTGATTAAGGTTCTGTCAAAGAACAAATGGTCTTTATAATGATTTTTGCCTGGGTGACCAAAGCTGCATTCTAGCTTCAGGCTGAAAATCCTATCCAACTCTGTTTCATTCACAAATGATGTTGGAGCATCTCCTTGTGTGTAGTGCAGTTACGAAGCCACTCTGCTGCCAGCCGTCCTTATCTCAGCTCCAGTTCCCAGGGGGCAGGTGTCTTCATCTGATTCTGTGGCACTCGCTACACTGTGGCTCTGGCTGGGCATGTAGTATGGATAGTACATAGTACCCAGATGACTGGACATCAGGGCACAGACGCCCCAGAACTTCACCTGTGCCCCTGGGGAAAGACATGCCAGGTACAAACTCAGGACCAAAGCTGCATGTGGGTGGCATCAGGAAAAGCTGCTTTGGAAGTCCTGGAGGAAAAAGGCAAGTGCAAAACTTCTACAACTTAGAGGTCCTAATGAGATCGCTTTTATTGGGATGACTTCATCTGAAGAAAAGGGGAAAGAATCAAAGGCAAAGAGATAGACTCTGCTAACAGATGTTTGGGTGTGGCTGGACGTTTCTGCCCGAAGCTGAGCAGAGGGGGAGCCTGGTCCCAGGCCAGGCCACTCATTCCTCCAGACCCAGGTCCTCAGCTTGGTCTCAGCGCACCTTCTTGAACACTTGCTTGCAGACCACATCCTGTACTCTCATCTCCTGAAACAAAAGCAGATGGTTGTGGGCCAGAGCAATGTCATACTTGGGGCTCTGAGCATCTTAAGGCAAGAAGTCTGAAAATAGTGGCTGTTATTGTTCTCCACAAATTGAACTAATTATTTCCTCAGAGTCAGGTGAACAGGATCGTCGGAGATCAGAATCTCTGCATCTTGTAGACAGAGCTGGCTAGGGGCACAGACGTGGCTCCCAGCTGGCAACTGGACCTCTTGATACCTCTTCTCCCCTCCCCACCCTCAAGAGGCCAGAAAGCTTTAGGAATCCAAAGCCTGAGCCCATGAGAGAGTCCATGCCGAGGCTTGGAAGGAACTGGGCCCAGATGCATGGCTCAAGGTTGCTGCAGGACAGGGCCTTGGGGTACCCTGAGGTACATCCTGGAGGCACTTGGAGTCTGGGGAGGCTTGGGTGCCATATTGTGCCAGTTATCTCAGTAGCCCAGTGGGGGAAGCTGTCTATTGCTGCCCTGAAAGCCTCCCAGGATTAGAGCCAAGACAGCTTGTTCCCTGCCCTCAGGACCAGCTCCTGCTCAGCCTCTGCTGACTGCGGCCAGGAGGCAAGGATAGTTGTATTGCCATGTCTCCTGAGATTTTTTATAAAGAAGGTAGAAATCTGAATATTTGTGTGACATTTCCTAATTTTTAAATGGTTGAAGAACTTAAAAGTCTTCTCAGGGCTGATAAACTAGACCCGCAGTCCCTTGATTACAACTTCTGGCATAGAGCCCCAGAGCTATTAAGCTGAGAGGATAACGGAGGTCACTTCATCTGACCTGTTTGCTCTGCAGCTGGGGAAACAAAGGCCCGGAAGGAGACCAGTGTAAGGTTGGGTCTTGCAGCAGAGGCCTTTTGCATTAGGGTGGCTACCTCAGGAAATAACACCCTTGTGTCTCTCCTCAGAGTTCTTTGCAGAGCTTCTGTGAGACAGGATGTCCTTATGCAGAGGAGGCTGAGGAAGTGAAGGGGCCTTCTAGTGAGTGGCCTGGGATTAGAATGCAGACTGCCTGGACTAGGCTCCTTGTGCTGATGGAAGTAGATGGGGAGTTCCCTGGGAAAGGGCAGTGATACAAGGTCTCTCCTTGGGGGACAGGAGCTCTGTTAGCTGGCCAGGAGCTCAGGGCTTTGCTCTGGATCTGTGTGTACTTTTCACAGGCAGCAAACTGAATCAAAGTGTGTTTTACCCTGAGTTCCCAGGTTGGAGGACAGGGTGAGTGGGTGAGGCAGGCTTTTCTTCCCTCAGTCCTAGGAATCCAAAGCCTGAGCCCATGAGAGAGTCCGTGCTGAGGCTTGGAAGGAATTGGGCCCAGATACACGACTCAACTGGCTGCTGCAGGACAGGGCCTTGGGATAGCCTGAGGTACATCCTGGAGGCACTTAGAGTCTGGGAAGGCTTGGGTGCCATGCTGTGCCTGTGATCATGTCTGTGCCTGTGATCAT